TAGCTGGGACTAAGGCTGAACCAAGGAAGGATTGAAAGGGTTTTGTACGTGTATGGAACCAAGGAGAAATAGAGGGATTAGAACGGTGAATGATCGCTGAAAAATCTAGGAAGACGGCGTAGAGATTTTAATTTAAAATCTCACAGGCAAGTTCTATTCCAAACTCTTTCTCTTTGACTCGTGTTCTTTACATGCCTAAGGAGTAAACAAACATTAAAGATTAATCTAGTTCGCATGTTAGTTTCAATTATAATGGTATACCTTTACATGAATTGGTGTTTGCTTTTTTAAAATTTTCTTGCATAATTCATGTTTTAATTGATGTGATTAACAAATAATGAATTTAAATATTTTCTGGAACATACTGGACCTAGTTTTAGATACCTAGGAACTTTAGGAGTGGAGGACAGATGATCAGAAAGTCAGAAATTAGCCGGCGTTGGAGAAGACGGTGGCTGGTAAGAGTGGAGGTGGCTCCATATCTTTTTGGAGCCTGCTCTACATTTTTGGAGCCTGCTCTACATGTTATTGGAGCATGCTCTACATTTTTGGAGCCTCCTCTACCTTAAATTGGAGCATCCTCTACCTTAAATTGGAGCCCCCTTTACCATATATTGGAGCCTCCTCAACCTAAAATTGGAGCCTCCTCTACCTTAAATTGGAGCCTCCTCCACATCTTTTTAGAGCCTGCTCCTTTATGGATTTTCAGTTTGTTTTTAATTTCAGTGATGGATTTTACTTCTGTACTTGGATTTTAATCTTCCAGTTTAATTTGAAGCTATATTGGAGATTCTCAGAGGTGTCCTAAGCTTATTTAAAACTCGCAAGGGCCTTGTTAGTGCATAATAATCCACCTTGTATTATAGTTTGAACAGTATAAGATTCTTACACAAATTGGTATACTGTTTTTGGATGCGGAGAATTTAAATTGTTCAACATAATTTTAACAATTTTTCGAGAATGATTCTATAGTTTAATCATGCTCCAGTGTTATAAGACAAGCATGTGGATTTATATATTCTATTATGCTTATTTGGAATTAATTGATGTTTACATGTATGATTTGTATTATCAATTATTAGACTATACGGAGTAGTATCAAATAAGCCTGTTAAATTACAAAGTTTTATAATGCTTAGTATGGAACAATTGATGTTTATATTTAATATTTTAATTATCAATTGTTGGATGTATAGATTAGTTGATATTTATTTTCATTATCAGTATTATCAACTACTAGATGGATGGATTGTATGCACCGGTATGGGACGGTGGCATACTAGGGACAGATTAGTTTCAAAATACTAAATCCTACCTATACAGAATAAGGGAATGAATTATAAAATAAATCCTACTTATATTTAAGTCAGATCAGCTGAAACAAAGTTGAATGACTAACTGGATTACTTGTTATGGATATGTAAGTCAGTGCAGCTGAACAAGCTGAACGGCTTACTAGATTTCTTATGGATGGATAGGATAGGACTTTAAATATATTTTTACGGTATCGAGATATGAGCTTGAGTCTCAGAGTCGACGGTTAGGTGGTGTATATGCAATAGGATGCGTAGCTGGCTATGTTGGTTGAGGTATACCCTGTTAGGCTTAGGTACTCATGCTCACTCAGGTGCGTTTTGCATGTTGCCTTCTATTCAGGTTGAGACCCTCTTCATAGTCCAGTGAGAGTTCCGTAGTGTGGATATATATATGTACAGACTACATAGCTATTGTTGAGTTGCTTAGGATGTACATGCGTATCGAGTCTCTGTTCAGATTGTAGTAGGATAGAACTTGTTCGTGGGCCTGACCCACTTTTATTTTTCAGGTATTCGACAGTTCCAGTCTTAGGATTGATCGTGCTGAGCAGAGACTATCACTCACTCTTCCGACGACGTAGGACTTCTCTCCGTGGTTTAACTTTGGATGCTCTTTCAGCTATTTACATTTCAGTTTGGATTTTATTAGGGGTCCACTAGAGATGGATTCCCCGAGTTGTTTAACAATTGGAGGTTTTGGATTATTGGATTTTTGGGCATTTAATCTTTAAGGATTATATTTTAGAATTCTTTCAGCTTTTATTTATTTATTCCTTATTTCATTTTGTAATCTGTGTTCGTTTTAAATATTAATTGTTTGATATTTCCCTCGGGTTTGGGCTTGGGCTTGATCAACCCGTGTCCCGGATCCGAAGGGTATCGCATCCGACATAGCATGGCATTGCATTACATGGCACAACATTGTTTATTTATGACCTTGAAATTGTGTTGTATTTTTTCCGGCATGGCATGATCCCGCTTTCCCTTATTCCTATTCATTGTCTGGATTCACGGGGTCACAAGAGGTGTATCTTAGGCACCACCTACTGAGAAATTTGCTCACCCCTTTATATAACATTTTCAGGTCACTAAAAAGAGGTGGCGGACGACGATCCACCATAAGTTTAGACGAAATTGGAGATCTACTTATTTTGCTATCTTTTGTATTAGAACTTTAATATTTTGTGAATATAATCTAACTATCTTGTGAAACTTTAGTTTAATTAGCATAATGTTGTAAGTTATAGACTTTTAAATTTTAGCTATATTTTATGGACTGTAACTAGATGTAATTAAAATGCGTTCCTTGTAAAGGATTATGGGACTAGGTAGTGAACTGGTGATTCCTTTTTTGGATGTGATGGAGGAACGAGACCTTTTTATATGTATGTAGTTATTTGGGAATGTGGTATATTATTTGTATTGTGTGTTGGGACATGATAGATTAATTTTAAGGCCAAGTGAGGCGATTGCATTTTTATGTATTTCAACAGGTTGTAGAAAGACTTTTTCTGCGGAGGTTATGCCAAAATTTTATATATTATTATTATTGTTATTATTATTTTGGTATATTTTTGGGTCGTTACACTTAAATTCCATTTGGAAAAGATATATCTAGATGAAATATTAGAAAACCATAATGAATTTTAACTCAAATATATATATATATATATATATATATATATATATATTCAACAAGATTATTATTGAGTTATCAAACAAGATACAAATAGTTATAAAATTTGTTATTTAGAAAGTGATAACTAAAAGTATTAGCATATATGATATTATTATTGTTATTGAGAGTCTCACAATAGTTTAGTTTATCTTTTTTTCGAATATTCCTAGAATTTGCTAATAAAGATTGTTATATAATTTTAGATATTTTTCTTGTAAATACCATAAATAAAAAAAAATGCCAACCGTGTCCTAAAACAGACGGTTGATTTCACGCTCTTTTTATGGATCCCAAATGAGAAGCTCTTCAAAAATAGAGTTGTCAAACACAAATAAGCCAAACAGAAGTGATAACTTCTCTTTTTTTTTCTTCATAAAAGTAGAAGCAAAAACTCTGCTTGTATTCTTTACACATGCGGTCTTAAGACTGGATAAATGAGGGGGCTGACAACCGGTAGTATGTGGATCGACTCAGGCTATAGCATTAAATAAAGCGGAGGTGGTTGTTGTTGTAAAAGTAGAAGCAAAAACTATGCCAAACGAGCGATCAATCCCACGGTTTTGAGAAGCTTCTCATAAAGTGTCTTTTAGCCTACTCTCTTGGGTTTTTAGAGGAGTAGGTTTGTGTGTGTCCCTTGAATGAATTATGTGATTGCAAAAATTTGGGAATTGTTTGAAATGCTTGAGTTTTCCGGTTTAACATCTGGGTGTTGCCAAAGATGCCGTAGCAACTCCAAGAAAATGCCTTTTACCTGAATTCATGTTGAAGTTGGCTCGAAGAGTCGGCTCATTCTAAACATCCACATTAGTTGACTCAATAGCTCAAGAGCCATATTTTTGTTATTTCAATCAACTTACCGTTGTACATATCACGAAAATATATTATTATTTATGAGAACAATGTGCGTTTCTCTTGCTTCTTGTCGTCGTCCTTTTCTGAAAAATTTTCCTCTTCTGAAAAATTTGTGTTCGAGTCTGGTCACTTTCCTCCATTTTGCTAAAGATAGTGGGAAAAATGTATATTATCCGTGAAATGATTGTAGTTAATAATATTAATATTTGTTGGTAGAGATAACAATAAACAAACACAACGGAATAACTCTTCTCCCTATATGCAAGCAAATATAGTGTATCTCTATTTTTATATGTGCTAAAAATAATAGAAAAGAAAATCAATCACACCAAACCACAAGAACACAAGCAATTTTTTACGTGAAAAATTTCCCTAGTTTGAGGAACAAAAACCACGGGACTTAGTCCAGTTAAAATCTCTATTATCAACTAAATAATAGGTACACAAAGTCTTCTCTAATCGCAATTAGAGGCTACAATACATCTCATCAAGATATCATCAATCTTGGCAAAAACAAAGAGAATTGGAGAGAAAATAGCATAAACCCGGTTACTATTCATGGGCATGAATCACTGTTCCCGAGCTCAAAATCCGATCTGCACCGTCCAGATTTTAACTCATTGAGTCGTAAACCACACCTCCAAATTTTAGCTCGATCGGACCACGGACGAAGCGGGATCGGAAGTTTGATGAAATCTGGGCAGTGTGAAGAAAAATTGCGTTTTTCTCTCTTTCTTTTGTGTAAGTTACGGCTGATCTCTCCTACCTTTTTATTCTGACTTCCTTAGGGTTATTCACTCTAAAGTGCTAGGCTTTGGGTTTTAATAAAACCCACTTGGGCTTTCCTTTATATAGAAGGAAATAAACCCAACAATGTTTTCATGTTCGATGATGTTTGATTGCATGGATCGCATGTCATTTAGCTTAAAGATTGCTCAAGGACACAATTGGATTCCTTGTATTGTGGCAGATTTATTGGGTGCTTATGTTTAGGGATTTGATTTTTATTCTCGATTTGATTTTTATTCTCTTCCTATATTTGTAATTTTTCACTTGTATATAATGATAGTCAGGTTCGCCAATTTTATCAAATCACTTTTGTTGGTTTAGTAGTGCCTGGAAAGGAGAACAATGAACAACAGACTTAGGAGGTATGATCCAGAATGTCATCCATTAAATTATTGTATTATAAATGGTCACATCCATGATCAACATCTTCATACATATACATATAGCTCCTTCTGCAGCACTGTCATGTCCCACCTTTACCAGTCAGTGTTTCGCTGCTAATTTTCCACTTTATCGCCTATGTAATGATTCAAAATAAATATTAATAATTTGATCAAGCATAAAAGCATTGAAAATGAGTTTTGATAAGCATGGACATGCCTTGTGATTGAATTCAATACCTTTCACCTTGCTCGACAATGTATGGGGGACAGGGACGATTTAGGATTAAGCTTATCAAAATGGTCCAAAAGCTGGGTTTTTCGACAGGTTTTCCATCAGCATCAGTGTCAGAGTCGCTTGGAGGGAGGGGCGGCATGTTTCCTTTCGGTATAGAATTCAACCTAAGATATGAGAGAGAAAAAAAAAAAAACTTATCTAAGTTGCTCTACTCAGGTACCATTTGTTCTAAAACATGGTGTATTTATAAGAGAGTTTGACAGAAGTATAATCACAAGTTAAATCCAAAGGAATAGAATAGACTTATTACTGATTAGCATGCATTCATTAATAACAGCATCAGATACTTGATTAGGATTGCATTTAAATAACAGAGCATCAGATGCTTCATGGCATTTTCTACTCACACACAATATTACCGGCCAATCTTGAAGCATATATATCCTGATGTGAGTAAGATTTTTATGTAAAATGATGCCTTACAACATCTTCAACAGTGTGTGTGTATATATATATATATTTGTGTAACTATGATGTGTTATAATAGATTTACATAAAAAATTTGGATTTTTTATTTTTAGTTCCAGTAGTTGTTTTATACCTTTTTGTAAAAATATATCCTAGGTCTACATAATTTTTACAAACCTACTTAATATAGGGTTCATTCGTTAATAGAATGAGAAAGAGGGGGGAGAAAGGATACATGCTCATGTAGCCATGTAAAAAAATTATGTAAAATATATAATAATTTTATACATTGGTGACGTAGCAGGAGATAAAAAAAAAAAATTACACACGTATATTTTACACACTCTTTTCTCTTAACAATTTATTTGCTACCACATTTTGGTTGATTTTTATGACTTAGTTGCCAAAAATTAGATATAGGTTATATGCTTTATTTACATAAATTTAAACAACATATTTTCCTTAGTGATTCCCATTTTATTTGGAATATGTTTGTTTTTCAAAAGCTGCGTTTGACTTCTTGAGCTTGGTAGTTGTTTTTAGTAATGTTTGGCTAGTTTTTATTTATTTATTTATTTTTAGATAGCTTTTGCCTGGAAGTTGTTTCATGAGTTTAATGAAAATTTCAAAATACCAAATATGCCTTTCATATTTGAGAGGGAATAAAAAAACATGCCGATAGTATCCTAAAAACAAACTGTTGATTAGATGCTTACATGAAATAATTCCAACTGAGAAACTCTTCAAAATGAGTTGTCAAGCACGTATAAGCCAAATAGAAGTGATATATAATGAATTCTTTTTCTGCAAAATGAAAATAATTCCAACTGAGAAACTCTGCAAAACTAGAGTTGTCAAGCACCTATAAGCCAAATAGAAGTGATATATAATGTCTTCTTTTTCTGCAAAATGACAAAAACTGTCTGGAATGTTGGTTATGCTTTTATTTTTCTTCAGCGTAAAAATAGAAGCAAAAACTGCCTGTTCTTTACACACAACGATCCTAAGCTTGGATAAAGGAGGAGCGTTGCGTTAGGTAAATTGACATGCAACATAAAACTTTGTCATGACCAATATTTGATAGTACGTGAATTGACTCAGGTTATGACTTCAAATAGAGTATAATAGAAACATGGGATATCATATAGCAGGACCCAAGTAATTGAAAAGGGCTTAATTGTTGTTGTTGTAAAGTAGAAGCAAAAACTATGCCAATCGAACCCTTAGCGTTAGGGTTGTGAGAGGCTTCTTAGAAAGTGTCTTTTAGCTTACTCTCTTGGGTTTTCAGAAGAGTAGGTTTGTGTGAGCGAAATATGTGATTGCAGGTATTGACCTCTTTTTTGCATCTTTATTTTTTGATTAATTTATAGAAAAAAAAAAAATAAACTCAAATTTCTTTTGGAAGAAGGATATATCCTTTTTATTCTCTTTAAACTTTAAATTCTGAAGAATTTAACAAAATTCAAATCAAAATTGTCAGTTAATGATGTTAAATAGAGATTATATAAGGAAAAAAAAAGAAAAAAAAAGAAAAGAAAAAGAATGATAGGATAAAGAAAAGAAGGGATGGGGAGGAGGGAGAGCCTGAAGTGTTTTATATAATTATTCAATCAAAATTTTCATAACATGCTTCAATAGTATCTTAAATAGCGCTCGATTAAATGGGAATCAATTTTAGTGTGTAGTCAATAAAAGGTTTGGATATTCCATTAATGCACAGGCAATAGAATTTGTTTTTTTTTTTTTTTTTTTTTTTTTTTTTTTTTTTTTTTTTTCCCCGGTAATTAACAGTCAATAGAATTTGTTCATAGATGAATATGTAATAAAGAGATATTTTTAGAAGCTAACAAAGCAACCATATTAAGGCATTTGTCAGATTTTCAAATATATTTGATTTTCATCACTTGATCAATGGAACTCCTACTAATATATTTTAATATAAAAAAATAAAAATAAAAAAGGGTAAAGTACATAGATACCCCCTGAGGTTTGGGATAAGGACATGCAGATGAAACTTAGTCTGTTTTGGGACAAAGACCCCCTCAAGTTTGATATAGTAACCAAAGACACCCCAATGGTAATGAATTGACATTTTTGCCCTTTGACTTTTATATTGACCCATGTGAATATTGAAATTACCTTTCTAACCTCTATATTTTTAGATATATATATATATTTATTTAACTCTCAATAATTTGTATATACACATATATATAATAAACGGAGAAGACAGCGCGTCCTTTACCTCGGTGCCGTCGGATATTTTTGAATGACAGGGGAGTTATACCAGTTCATGGTAGATTGGGGTTGCGACTCGAATCAGTAGGTATGTGTTTCGCACTGATAGCTATAGAAGGAAAGAGGATGCGCATGTACCAAAGGTGGAAGAGTCGCCGAACAGGGTGGTAAAGGGTTGTCGAAAAGGTGCAAGCGCCGAGGAATTCGAAAGCAAGGATGCACTCCAAGTGTCAAGGTGCCGACGGTGGCCTGCTCCTCGCCAGCTCATGATTCTTGTACAGAGCTTCGACGAGTCCATGGCAAAGAGTTCCGCTGACGGCCATGGCCTACTCCTCGCCGACGCATGATCTTCTACAGAGCTCCGGCTATTCCATTGCAGAGAGCTCTGTCGACTCTAGATCCTTCGAATCCGATGAGGCCGACTCTAGATCCGCGGCCCGCCTTCAATTTCATTGACCCATAGAGCCCCATAGTCGCCGATGAGATAAGTGCGGCAATGGTGAATGGATATTGTCGTTGTCGTCGCTGCATATTGTGGCCACCATAACGTCGCTGCCGCAAATCGCTGCTAAGTTACGTTCTCTCTCTCTCTCGCGGAGGTGACTGCAACAACTAACTGGCGATTTCGAACTCCGGCAAGTCACAAAAAAATCCGGCCAACAGAATCCTCATCTTCGTTCCAAAATCAAAGCTCTTATCTTCAACGGTGTGCCCTCTGTTTTATTTATTATTTATTTTATTTTTTGTTTTGTAATTTGTGTTCTTAGACTGTTCTTAATTTGTATTTTGTTCAATTATTTATTTTGTTAGGTATTAATTTTCAATGATATTGAACTGTGCGGAATGATATATATATTGATTATATATATGTGTATATACAAATTATTGAGAGATAAATAAATAAATCTAAAAATATAGAGGTTAAAAAGGTAATTTCAATATTCACATGAGTCAATATAAAAGTCAAATGGCAAAAATGTCAATTCATTACTATTGGGGTGTTTTTGGTTACTGTATCAAATTTGAGGGGGTGCCTTTGTCCCAAAATAGGCTAAGTTTCATCTGTATGTCTTTACCCCAAACCTCAAGGGGTGTTTATGTACTTTACCCAAAAAAAAAAAGTAAAATATTACCACAAAAGGGATTGCAACTGAACTGTCACTAAATTTGTAATGACCTAAACCTGAGGGTCCGAATCGCTAACCGGATCCTTACCCGAACCCGAGGTCAACTAAAAACATTACCATCCTTTCCTATATCAATACATAATATGCATGTCATCCTAGGGTTTATATATAATAATAATAATAATAATAATAATAAAAATAAAATGAGATCATAGTTACAAAATGTGTCAAACAGTCCATTAACCCATCAAAACTTGTGGAGGAACGTCGTCCGCCACTTCCTTCTTGTGACCTAAAAAATGTTAAAATGATGGGGTGAGCTAAACGCTTAGTAGGAAGTGTCTAAAACACACTTCTTATGACCTTGTGAATCCACATAGAGAATAGAATGCAAGAGAACGGGATCATATCTTGGGAGTCAAGTAAAACCACTGCATCATCAACAAACATACATATCTCAACCAATTACCAAATGCACCACATATGCCAATGATGTGCCATGCCATGCAATGTCACTCCCCGTTTCCGAAACCAAATTGTTTTAACTTCCAAACCGTTAGTGTAATCCGACCCAAGGCACCTCCAAAGCGTCACGAAAGGGGGATTGGCTACCCATCCACGACCACAAGGCACCTCCAACGCATCGCATCCAGCCTGGTTAGCTCAACCACACTAAGGTCTCTCCCTAGTCCCCTCTCTAGACCAGACTAACACCACGGACCACTAGGCGCCTCTTAGGCATTCGGGTTTTCACAAACACTTTTCAAAAACTTTTCCCCAAAACAATTTCATTGGTTTTTTAAAAAATACTTTTCCCCTTTTTTCTTTCCTAATGGATGCATGAATGCTTCATGCTTCATAATTTACCATAATTTTCACATCATCAAACCTTAACAACATTTCATACTAAAGAAGAATTTTCTCATGAATTTATAGCATGCTTTTAGTCAACAAAATTTCTACAATTACACATATTAAATAAGGACATAATCACAAAAGCATGCTTTCCATATCCAATCAACAAATCATACACATATATATTATTTACACATAACACACATAAAAATACGCATCATATATCTAGCATCATGGTAATTTCTCAAGAAAAATTTACAATAAATCACATACATTCCATCTACATCATTATCACATTATTAAGGGAAATCCTAACATTTATTTTTATAATTTCAACATCACTTTTCTTAACAATTAAAAATCATGGGGCACCTAAAATGTTAATACTAAGCATATATCTTCACCCCCAAGTATATAAATCATAATCATTGGTTCAATTAACACATATAATACATCCATCACCTTAATTACCTACAACCACAATAACATAGACAAAATTGCTAAAATCAAACATGCTTAGAATCAAATTAAAGGGGATAACTTACAAAAGATCAAAGAAAATGTGAATTAGAGTATCCCTA